TAGAATTTAATCTAATTTTATAGCTTTCTGTTGAAAAATGTTTTGAAACGGAAAAAACAATTTATGTAGATTGTTTTGGATGCAGGTTGTATTTATACCTTTGGAAATTTCAGGTTTAAATGGATAAGTTTTGACTAACTTAAACTATTTTTGTTCGTTTTTAGATCACTCTTATCAATCACACTTATTTGAATACCAACTACTTAGAATTTAAATGTTGTGTTATTTCTTTTCGGTGTTATTTTGATCTTGCCGTTTTCCAAAAACCAATTTCTTTGTTCGATGGTTTTTTGGAATGGAAACTGTTATCAATGGAGATCAGACAGCTTGCCATAAGGTCTTAAACAAAAAAGAATTCATTTATTTAAAAAAAATTCGGTTTTCCGGTGTTTGATGTATGTGTTTATGTGTGTAAGTGAATAATTCCACGGGAATAAGATCAGAATTTTCTGTGTAAAATGTTATAAAATAGGAAATGAGAAAAACGGATGTACATTTAAGTGCACGTAAATAGTATCTATAGGATTCAATCAACAAGAGTAGTATATTTATAGCAACTCAATTATCGAAATTGGGCTTTTTACCCTATAACCTTAAAGTATTTTAAATTTCATGCATAAGTAAAATTTCCCGTCCGCTACACTTACTTTATTAACTCTTATGAAGATCATGGAAATTATATAAATGTATGAGTTCTTAATCCATCATATCAGTAATTTTCTATGGCGTATACTATATGTCATGTACATACTATTGACTGTCTTGTGAGCCGAAGACGTGCTAACACAAACGAATTTTTTTTTTTTTTAAGACGATTTTATTGTTTTGTTTATTGCAGGATGTGATATAAAAAAAAATTATGGTAAAAAAGGTTGAGCCATTGGCAGAATATTTCTTAAATAATCAATGCAAACGAAAACTGCTCGATGCACTTTATTTGAGATATGTCAGGATAGCCTCGTGTCAGTTTAGTTTCTTTTGTAACTTAAGGCTATTTTATAATAGTACTTGTATAACTTGTTAATGTATAAATTTTTTCAGAAGATACAAGTTATTATTTTAAACATTGTGATAAAAGATTAAACTTCTAATTCTTTGTTTATCAAACTATATCACTTCAGAATTTTGGATCAGACTGAAAAGAAAAAATTTTTTTTAACGTATAAAGCTGGATTCTGATTGTGTTTTGATGATTTATCTTTGAAAATTTGAGTACGAACGATTTGATTGCAGGGACCGAATTTAATGTTGAAAGCAGGAAAAAGTTCTTTAATAAAAGCAATTATTTTTGTTGTAGGAAATCCAAATACTAATTTTTATACTGTAATAGTAGTGTGGTTCATCGCAATCCTTACTTTTCTATCAATTTACTTCTACTTACAAGTACAGCATGGAAAGGTAAATACAAAAATTTGATTATTATCAACACACGAACATATCAAATCAAAAAAATTAATTAAATAGATAAATTACATTTCAAGTAAATAATCTTTTCCAGTTTAGAGAAAAACTCTTATTAGAATCTAGTCTTACCCAGTTTACGGAAGGGAAACTTGATTTAATGAATCCAGAACTTACAGTAGATGAGCAGGCAGAACTCCTTCCGTACGATATAAGGTGGGAGTTTCCCAGAGAAAAAATAAAATTAGGTAAGAGATTATAAATATATTTTCAAAAAGTGTAAGATTAATTTGATTAATATTAACGTTAAATATATTTCTCTTCAATCACATAAAGATAAGAAATTAGGAAGTGGAGCTTTTGGAGTCGTGTATAAGGCCGTAGCTTACGAAATGTTTGGTAAAAACTCTAAGACAACTGTAGTTGTAAAAACAGTTCGCAAAAATGCAGATCCAATGTATATTACTGCACTAGCCAGGGAACTTAAAATTATGATTTATTTGGGACAACACTTAAATATTACAAGTATTTTGGGAGCTTGTACAAAAACTATAGCCAAACGTAAGCATTCGCGTAATACTATGAGCAATCACATATAAAAGAAAGTGTATTTATTAGACAAAATTATTGTACATTTCAGGTGAACTTTTGGTGATTGTTGAGCTTTGCAAATTTGGAAATCTGCAAAATTATCTCTTGGATCATCGACAAACTTTTATTAATCAAATTAAATCAGATAAAGGTGAAATCGGCCCTTGTATCAGAAAAACATCAAATAGGTAATAATTTTACTGTTCGTACTTTTTTTAATTCTCAAGCAATTATACGTTAAGTAGACCAAGTACACCGGAAAAACTTGTATTTTTCCATTGATACGTTAATATAAACTAATTCTTTTAATATAAAATACAAGAAGCATCGATTTTCATCTTAGTTTTGAAGAAAAATTAAAGATAGAATTGATAAAGAATTGATAGAAAAATTTTATGAAAATATGCAAGAGTTCTTGTGTCATTACTTAGCATCTCTCCCAAAATCTCATAGTAAAAGAACTAAGGAATATAATCACGTGTCAGAGCAAGTTATGGTGGGCAAACCTGAGTTTGATTAGTATCGTTTGCATGTAGAGAAGAATAGAGCAAAGAACTGAAAAAAGTTTTCATCCATAGCGTTATCATTATACTTTATGTCTTTGAATTATGAGTCATAAGGCATTGCTATTTATATTGAATTTTGTATACAACGATTTCAATTAATTATATAATTAAATATAAAAAAATGTCTTTAAGTAGTATACTAGGATCAAGTAGCGATGGAATTGAAATGTAAAAACGTTGTCTTTAGTACGACGAACATTTTGGATTCAAGAAAACTGTTTTCCATTTTAAGATTATTATTCCTTTAAATGTATTACTTGATTCGTGATCACAATCACAGATGTACTACTTAAAACAGTTTAAACTTTTGATGATAATATAGTTTGTGAAAAAGATTATTAGTAGGATCGTTGGTTTTGAGGACTTACGTGCGTTAATTTATACTTATCTTGAATACTTATGCGAGTATTTTGAGTCCATATACTGATTTTTGTCTAAGTTTAAATTAATGTTATCGTTCGTAAATTCAGATTTTTATCGATAAAGCACGTAGTAATTTGGCTACAGAGTTTGCACAGAAAGAATTAAGTTCTTGCGTCTACAAAAAAAACACTTCTACTAAATCAAAAATTTTAAAAATTTTCTTGTATCCTCACATATTGTAACTCTCGTAGACATAACACATAAGTTTAATTTTTTTCAACAATAGGACAAAACACAAAATTTTTAGTGATTTCAGTACGGTTTCATGCAGCAGTAGTCCAAGCAATGAGACCAGCATTTACTGCTCAGAGGATCGGACATTCGTTGGCTCAATGGAATTTAGTGATGATTTTGATGACGATGATTCCCAGCCAGGTTGGCGTTCTAATTACAAAGGTGACTACGCGAATGAGGATGCTCCGTTTCTTTGCACTGAGGATCTTTTTTTATGGGCTTATCAAGTAGCAAATGGTATGGAGTACCTTTCCCAAAAAAAGGCAAGCACCTATATGTATACAATTATTCATGTTACTGGATTCTAACATTGTAACTAACTGTAGGTGTTTGCTACTCGTTTTATTTTTAGGTTCTACATTGTGATTTAGCCACGAGGAATATATTATTGGCAGAAAATAACATTATTAAGATATGCGATTTTGGTCTGGCAAAGACATTGTACAAAGACGAAAACTATAAGAAACAAAGCGGTAGCAAATTGCCTGTAAAGTGGATGGCCATTGAGTCCATTAGGGATGGAGTCTTTTCAACTATGTCAGACGTGTGGTCATTTGGTGTAGTTCTATGGGAACTTTTCACCCTTGCAGAAATACCTTATGCAGGTGTAGGGTTCGAAGTAATGTATCAGAAATTAGTCAGGGGATACAGATTGGCTAAGCCTACTTTAGCCACTGATGACATGTAAATAAATGTTTTTGTAAAAAGTTCATTTCTAGAAGTTCATCTTACAACATTGCTTACCTTTTTTTAGTTACAATACTATGCTCGATTGCTGGGAAGAAGAGCCGACATTAAGGCCATCTTTTACAATGCTGGTTGAAAGTTTTAAAAATCTTTTACAAGATGACATCAAAATACGCTTTCTAAAACTCTATCATACGTATGAAAATTGGAATGGAGAACGACAGTTAGAAAAAAAAGAAGAAAATCAAACTTTATCATTATCAGACGATATAATAATTCGACCGAGCCAGCACAACTACGTAAACACTATACCCGAAATCGCAAGTCCATCTTATCTAAACGTGTTTGATGGTATTGTTGTAACTAATAATAAAAATATTTGATCACTTAATGACTTGAACTTTAAAAACAAGTAGCAAGTATGTATATCCATCAAAAATATATGATTATCTTATTAAAATTTTATGCTTTTTGTAGAGTTCCATAGTTATTCAAAATTGTTAAACCAAATGAGACAGTTTTAATACATATATTGTTTTATACAGTTTACTTTAGTTCCTTATTACTATTATTATTTTTTTCCTATCAGCGCTGCGTCATAAATCAAGGCGCTTCTCCCTCGAGAGATACACCATCTAGCGTTAATTATGTATGCGTTACTATGTCGGTAAATGAGTTAGCAAATCATTCAAAGTGCAAATTTGGCAATCATGTACTTATTTTGCGAAATGAGAGTTACAGTACGTCTGTGTATATTATACGTTCGTCAGCTGATTGTACACGACGTAACTTCCCACATTCTTTATTCCTTGATGTAAATAAATGATTAGAAATGGATCATTGGTCCAAAAACCAGTTGCGTGTAAACGGAGGAAAGTTTGTTCGTAAAAAAAAATTAGACAAAATGATTCGAGAAAAAAAGGGTATACGTCCCAAAAACATTAAGACGATGGAGACTAAGGAGAAAAAGAATGAGCCCTGCCTTTCAGAGAGAATTGTTTCATTTAAAGGCCGTTGGACCGTAAATATGGACAGTTTCGCCAGAAGTTTGTTATGTTCACATTGTACCGATCGAATTTTTTTGGAAAACAGGAAAATATTTTCGAGGAGGAACAGCATGGTGTTTTATCCACTTTTAAAATCAAGTGCTTAAAATGTTGTGCTATAACAAATGTCAAATCTGTCAAAGAACACCAAGTCCCAGCAGAGCTGATTCCACCCCGACAATCAAAGGAAGTTGTGAATCAAAGTGTCACCAACGAGATGTTGGTTCTTGGTAATAAAAAAGTCATATTTGTGATTAAATGATTGTCTTAATTTCAATATTTTTAATAATATAGGTAGCGTAGAGGCAACAATTGGCTGCAGAGAGTTGATTCGGCTTTTCGCATATTTAAATATACCGTCAATCGACCACAAGTTGTACGCAAGATATTTGACTTCTGTTGGAGCTGCAATAACAAAAGTTGCCGAAGAAAGTTGTGCTGAAGCAAGACAAGAAGAACGCCGGTTGGTTATTAAAAATATGAAAGACCTTCGTATGGAATTGTGAGTTTTAGATCGTGTAAAGTTTTTGTTTATTATGCTCAATGTTAACAGAATTTTTAATACCTATTTTAATTTTTTTTTTTTTTTCAAATGAGGTAGAGAGAAAAATAGTATTATTGTAACTAGTATTTTTCGTAAGCTTTATAGTATATTTTTTTTTTTATACACTTACTATGTTGTATACTTTTATTTTATACTTAACTGTATACTTGTTTCATTTATACACTTGCTTTATTGTATATACTTTCATTTGATTATTACAGTGTTGTTTATAAAATATTTTATATCATGTGTCTTGTACGGTATACATTGCTACATTTATTATTATGCAAATAAAGATGTACATAACGTAACACGTCTAATAGAAAAAAAAATTCAATTAATTGCATGAAATTTTACAGCACCCTACTTTCCTTTTCTTTTTACAGTCCAGAAAAAGTAACAGAGGAAATATATCCAAAGGTGATGGCTGCCATTGAAGGAAAAAAAAAGAAATTACCGGATTTGATGCTCACTTCCTTGACGTAATGAATAATATAGTATCTTACGACATGGGCTGGAGTAGGAAAAGCACCGGCAAATGTGACGACTCTTTGAATGGGTACGGGGCAATTATTGGTTTGTTATCGGGCAAAGTGTTGGATTGTCGCACTCGAAACAGGAATTGCACAATGTGCGAATATGGCCATGATCCGACTGATCACGATTGCCACAAAAATTATACAGGTAGTGCCAAATCGATAGAAGGTGACGTATCCGCTGAGTTAGTAAATGACAGTATGTTTTTGAGAAATAACAAAATGGAAGTCAGAGTCTTTATTGAAAATGAGGACGCTGCAGCCATTGACAAAATAAGGAAAGCAAGTAAACAAAAAATACTTAAATTTGTAGACCGGAATCATATGAAAAAAAATTTCATCAAGAAGTTGTATGAGTTAAGAAAGAAACACAGTGAATTTAAAAAAAAAAATGTTATCGCACACATAAAGAAACTTTTTAATTCTTCTATCCATAAAAATAATAAAAATACGGCGAAATTAAAATCAACATTACTTTCTCTTTCAGATCATTGATTTGGTTTACATATCACTTGCGGTATGTGGTGTGCTAGTTCTCGATTTTCCAAGGTAAATTTTGAGAAGTTCCATGCTGTCACTTTTAAAAGCTAAGAATTGTACACTGATATAAAAATTATTTTTGTAATTTACGCAGCCAATGCTTATAAATTTTGCATAACAGCTATGAACCAACGCAATGAACGCTTGAACAGCATCATAGTGAATCATTTTCTGAGAAATAAAAACTATAGAAAAATATTTTGCAACATTCACCTGGAAAAAATACCTGCAAGTTTTCAGATCTAGCAGATAAAAAAAGACTGAGGGAGGGAGAACTAAGATCAACAAGAGAGTACAAATATGAAAGGAGTCTGAATCACAGTATTAGACAAAGTTGTCGAGTTAGAACTGAAGATATCAAAAGTCCAAGCTACTAGTCGGATCTTTCAATGACAAATGTTTAAAACAATAATTTTAAAATTTTTACAACTACAGTAATTGGTGATGACGTTGTTGTATATTACGACTTAGAAACGACGAACTTAGATATAGATTCTTGTGATATAATTTAAATTACTGCCAAAACTGGAGAAGCGCAATTTTCTGTGTATGTTACACCGACTCAAAATATCGACACAGAAGCATCTCCAGCAATAAAATTAAGTAATAGAGGACCAAAACTTTATTATGATGGCGTTGAAGTAGAATCGATTTCGTTACCTGAAGCACTTGCTGGTTCACGTGATTTTTACATAAATTAGGAAAAAAGTGTATTGTTATTGCTTATGATAATAGTCGTTTTGATCATACGTTACTGCTAAGGGTCATTTAAATGGAAAACCTAAGAGATTATTTTCAAACAATTATACATGGCTTTGTTGATTCTTTATTATTATTTGAAAAAGTGTTTTCAGAGAGAAATGGTCCAGGTAGTTTAAAGCTAAGCAATTTTGCAAAAGATTTGTTAAAAATCAGTGGAAATTTTCACGAAGCAAAGTTTGACGTGAGCGTCTTCGAAAGCTTATATAACAGTTGATCGATGAATTGGATGTGACAAAAAAATTGATTCCCTTCGATCATTTTGCAACTGAAAAAATGAGCAGTACTTAATAAGATCAAAAATGCCAGACTTAGATTTAATTAAAAAAATAACTAATACTGCCCTTTGCAAAAAAATTATCGCACAAGGAATGACGTATAATCATTAACGTGAAAAATTCGTTACTTTAGGAAAAAGCTTGTTTGAAAAATTTTTAAAAGAAATATGTAGACGTTCAGTACGTATTACAAAATATGCTTTTTTTGTGCAAAATTCAATTGATCATTTCTCTACTTCATAGTTGTGTGTTTTATGTATTTATTACAATTTAACCGTTATTAATAATTGTAAGTTTAATAAGCATTTATTCAAATATACAAATATAAACAAAAATCTTGTAATTTTTAATTAGTTCCATAATAATAATGATTATTTACCTTATCTGATTTATTATTATTGGAAAAAAAACTTTTGTGCATGTATTCTGCATACCTATGTGCGTAATTCAATTTGAACGTGGTGCAGAAGATACATGTTGCTAACTGCGTTTCACTAAATTATTTCGTGACAAAAGTAACCTTTTATTTTCGTTGCTTGCTACTTTGAAACTCAAATTAATAATAGAAGTAAACGTACAAAGTTTCTATTCAATTGACTAAAAAATTTCTGGAATTAACAACTATGTGGTGATGGTTTTTAATCAAGGACAAATAATTTATTTTCCGAGTAATCTACAAAACAGAGCAGTGAGTCGACAGCCGTTGCCATAAGACACCCTGCGATAGACAAAGAGATGCATACGAATTTGTCGAACTTTGAAATTGTTTTACGCAAGAACTAAACGTACAAGTATGCCTAAATTCTTAGAAAATGTGTATTAATACATTATCTAGCAATAAACAAAGTTTCAAGCAAATATATAATAGTTTATTCTCTGGGAGAAGCACCTTAAACTCTGTATATTTTGATGAATTTTATTTTATTGCATTCAACAGACCATTTTCAAATTTAATCTCTTACAATCCAAATATACTTTTAGAGGATGCTAAGTCAGTGTTACGTACGATAGCATATAGATATACGTGCGTGCGCCTCTGCTGGCTTGGGCCCGAAAGGTAGGGGAATAGAGAAGAGAGGTGACAGGAAAGGTAGAGAGAAGGGACAGGTAGATCAGCTCGACACGCGAAAGGGTAAGGACGAAGTCTGCGAGACGAGAAGACACGCACAACTTCCCTCAAATATAAGTAATTCTAATAAAGCATAAGTAACAACAAGTCACGCTTTTATTTATTCCTGCACTGAGAATCCCACGTAACAGCTGGGGTCAGAACTGAGATAGAGATAAAATTTTTCATGGTCTGTTGCGTGCGCGGAAATCACTTAGTCTTTGGGAACAAAAAAAAAATTTTTAATTATTTTTTTCTTGACATGATTGACGTAATAAAGAAAAGAAATAAAAAGAATATATCTCTCGTCGCAAAGAAAAAAAGTGTCATCCCACACAGAAATACATAGACCCCCCGTATTTGAAAAATTAACTCCATATACCGAACGTGAAAATGCGACAACTGATATTAATCGACAAGTCACTAATCTACATAGCGACAAAACACAAGCCAAACACGACACAAATCTACACGATATAATAAGAGAAGCAGCGTCACAAGCGGTGCAACGATATACAAATCAAATACCTACACCTGCACAACCAAAACATCAATTATCACAACAGACGTACGGAGAAGTTACACGGCGTCAAACACAAATGCAAACCCAGTAGCTCAAGGCGAGCAAGAAATCGGGAACTACGGCATCACTCACAATACAAACCACGACAATAATTATTATAGACAGAACAAAGTGGCACCACTTTATTCTGCAGGAGAAGACGAGTTAGGTCAGGCAAGTAGAAATTACTTGAACGCCCAAGACCGATTTACAGTACCCTACTATTACACAGGAAATCCTAATTACGAACGCCCAATTCAGAACACACTGTCGTCACTAAGTCACCTAGCAGCAAACATACCGATATTTAAAGACGATTCCGTTAAACTACCCCTTTTCGAACAAATGGTAAGAGTGGTATCGTGGACGGTAAGCCCCGTGTATGAAAATTTTTTTACAGGCTCACTAGCAAATAAGCTGAAAGAAGCATTCGCCGCATTTATACCGCGCCTGGCACAGTTCTCATTTGTAGATGAATTCTTGGTAGAATTGAAAAATAGGTACAGCAGCATCGGAAGCATCGACACGTTATTAGCAAAATTAAAAGTAGTAAAACAGTACAGAGGGGAATTAGTAAAGGAATACAGCAGGCATGTTAAAAAATTATACGATAGAATAATAAACCTATACGATTCAGACACGACACTATCACCCAGGCAACGACACGCATTAAAGAAGAGCGCGGAAAAAGAAGCTATAAAGCAATATACCTACGGAATACAATCACCTTACAACTACAGGGTAACATGCCTTAACCCAAAAACGTTAGGCGAAGCTAAAGTAGCCGCGCTGAAAATGGAAAGCGACTTAAGCCTACGAGAAATAATGCCGGCACGAATCGAGGCCCAAATGTTCCGAGCGAGGGCAGAAACAAGAGATACGGACGATCGTGTGAGCAGCCATGAGCAGGCAGAAGTTTGTGACACAACAGATAAAAATAAAATAACAGGGGACTATCAATATTGCTCATATTGCAATGAATACGGGGAGCATGCTACAAAAGTATGTTTGAAATTAGTAGCAGACGCAGCGAAAAAAAAAAATTGAAAACCTAGATGTTCCTGAAACTTTATATATTTAAATTGTTAAGTCTTTTTGGCTGATATTTATTTTAAAAGAAAGAGAGAAGTTATGTAAGAGCTAAGGAGGTTTGTGAGAAAAGGAAGGTAATGAATATGGAGAATATTTAGAAGCTGAGAATGTGTACTCTAGCTAGAGCGATCGGCAAGGCGTGCACGATGATTCTGTTGGGCGGTAATCAGTCATGGCCGCTTTCCATCATAGATGGAGAACGGGGTGAGGGGAGATTTCCTCCTCTCGCGGATAAAGGCCAGATGCGCTAGAGCCCTTAACTACCGTTGTTATGGTTTGTTTTCTGATTTTTTCTTGTTTTCTTTTAATATAAAACAGCCGAAAGGAACGCTATTTTTCTTCTTTTTTTCCTTGATAATCAAAGCGAGCGCATCAAAGTTGTGAAAAGTTGTCAAATAAAACTCGTTTGAAACATTACCTTTTGTGTTTTTCTTGTGTGAGCGCAGTAGCTAGTCCGTTTGGCTACACCAGACATAAAAGCAAATGATCCACCAGTGCAGGTATCACAAGATAAACAAAACGTAAGGGATAAAAATTGCGCTTACTGCAAACGCAGGGGGCATTATACAAGCGAATGCCGCACACTAGTAAGAGACGCAGATAATGGGAAA